CTAGTGTGCAGATTCTGTGCCCGGAGCACATTATGCGTAGATATTACTTCCTCGATGTTTAGAAAATCTACCAGTGACAGTTGAGATGACAGTGATAACTGCAGCCTACATTTCGCTTTCGAACCATTCTGTCCTCATGGAGTTTCATGACTTCTAACTACAACGCATTGCCCTCCATGATTAACACAGACATCAGTAAGCACCATGCCTAGAAAATTCAGGGCACTATATGTTTGCAGCACAGCTTATATGCTGTCAGACCTAATCTGGTACACGTTGCATGTATCCCTGACTACACTGCATACCTTCTGCAGGAAATAAACAAGAAAGTTTACTCATAGGATGAATCGACCACGATGAATATGATATATATATATATATATTTATAAATTTCAGAAAAACAATCACTTCAACTTAATTAAAATCAAGTCAAAGTTGTTTAACAAGTTTTCGGTATGATGAACAAAACAAAAGCAGGATTTAACAGGAATTCGGAAAGTTTCATTTCTTTTTCAAGCAGTGCCCAGGAATTTGTTGTTGTCAAAACATTTACTGATTGGTATACTGAATACTGAGAAAGTCAAAATGGTATTTGCAAATCTGTTGATCTAGAGCGAATAGTATTCATCTGGTGAGCCTTCAGAAACCTGAATAAGCCAATGCATAGTACGAAAATGCCATCCAGTTAACAGATATTTGCAGCACTATGAGTTTTATAGCCAGCCGTTTAGCTAAAAATATGGAGAAATATCGAATTCTAGTAGCCATAACATATACCGTTGCTGTCTCGTAAAAATAAAGTTTGTATGAGATCCATCGTAAAATTCTCCGAATTTCAAGAAGCTAGAAATATGCGTCGAAAAACGACAAACACAACAGCAGGAATAAGTCTTATTGAGTGAGTCAAAGCTGTACTCATGCAGACCGGTTGCATGCTGATCAAAAAATTATGGTTTACTGAAGAACCAGTAAAATTAAAGCAACAAAGTGTTCATCAGACATTTTTGGTAGCATAAGTCCGGCCTTGTTAAAATAGTGAGATGATTGCTAGTTGTTCAAAAAAGGAAGTCCGTGTGAGACCAAGCAAAGGTATTTGAGATTAGTTAGCAAAGTGTCTTTTATGAGGTCTTCAGGATGCTGAAATACATCTCAGAAGTGTGTCTCTTGAAGCAGGAACTACTGTAGTGCCCGGTTGTATCATAGCAACCTTTTGACTCTTCAGTTTGCAAAGAATGAGAACAATACCTCCTCCTCTTAGTGAATCAGCTTTTTTATTGTCGTTTACGCAGTCTAGTAAATGACGGGAATCAACATCTTTAAAATAAGATAACAACCCCTTTTGTATACACTAAGCAGCATCTCAAGGGTAATCATTTTCCTATGGCGACAGAAAAACAAATCTGCAATCGTTTTCTAACATTTACCCAGGAAGGTGAACACGACCTTTCTGGTTGATATTCCAAATTTCTTCCTAGATGATTGACAATAAAACATGGTTAATGTCAGTGTTAGTACTTTTATTACAGGAGATATGATAAATCATCTGTGAATCACTGGCTGGTAGACTCAATTAACTGTCTTGTTCCCACTGTTGGTGTTAAAAGGTTTCCTGAGTAAAACAGAAATATTCAGATTCTTCACCTGAACCCGAAATCAACAAGTAGAAAAAAGAGAATAAGCAAACAGTTCCCTTCCATACTTAGTAGAACGACTGATTTAGAACGTGTGACAGTACAGCCTCCATATCGTATTTTAGGCTGACGTCTAATCACAGACATACAGCTTAACAGTTCATGTGGATCCCAGTTATTACTCTCTAATGGTTCTAGCACTACGACAGCATATAATCTTGTTTTCGTTTGATATTATTATTATTGTTGTTCCCTTGGGTTCCTAGTGGAAAATAGGGCTTCAACTACGCGTCTCCACTTGCTTCTGTCTTCTGCTGTACTTTTCACCTGCGTCCATGTTAATCCATACTGTTTCAGTTCCTCATCACACGATCTCCTCCATGTCACCATTGGACGTCCCACTCGCCGCTTCCCTTTCGGGTTCCACTCGAGGGCCTGATGTGCGATGTCACCCAACGGCCTCCTCAGCTCAGCGAGTGTCCAATCCATCTCCACTTTCTCCTGCATATTTGTTGGGCGACTGGATCTTGTTTCGTTTGTTCCCACAGTTTCTCGTTGGTGATTCTTCCCGGCCATCTGATCTTCAGTATAGAACGAAGACAGCTGTTGATAAAGGTCTGCAACCTCTTGGAAATATTCTTTGTGACCCACTGGCCAAGTTTCTGATACGTATAGAAGAACTGACTGACTTGACGTTTGTATTGAAAATCCGAATTTTGTTGTTGATGCAGGCTGAGTGACGAAGATTTCCAGATTGGTTTCAGGTTGATGAATGTGTTTCTCGCCTTCCCGATTCTCGCTCAATTTGACATCCTCCTCCGTTCCTCCTGTGGTTGAGACAATGCTCCCTAGATAAGTGAAAGAAGTACCCTCTTTCAAATCCCTCCCGTTGATGGTGATTGGCTCTGGATGTTGCTGTTGCTGTCGTTGTTGGTTGGTTATTTTCATAACCTCCGTCTTGTCTATGTTCACCTGCAGTCCTGTCTTTGCTGCTTCTTCGACCAGTTTGCGGGTTTTCGCTTGTAAGTCTTCGATTTTGTGTGACATCAAACATAAATCATCCACACGCGAAATCCAGGTCTTCTAGGTTCTTCATGTGGGTCCAGGATATCCCTGTCTTCTCGTTTCCCACTGTCTGACGCATAATCCAGTTCACCACAATTAGGAATATCATTGGTGATAATAAGCACCCTTGTCTGACTCCTGTGTTTACTAAAAACGCCTCGCTGAGTTTTCCGTTGTGGATCACTTGACATGTGCCGTTGTCGCGCAGCTGTTGAATAAGGTTGATAAATATTTGGGGTAGGCCGTAGTACTCGAGGAGTTTCCAAATTACTTCGCGGTCAACGCTGTCGAAGGCCTTCGTTTGGTATACTGCACACTTATACAGACAGGACTCCAAGTGAACATAGAGAAGACGGAGGTGAAGATAACCAATAAACCGAAGTAACAACAACAACCAGCGCCAACCATCATCAACGCGAGAGATTTGATAGAGGTTACTTCCTTCAGTTATTTAGGAATCATCGTTTCAACTACAGGCACATGGCACGGATGAAAATGTCAAAGCCAGTCAGAATCGGTAAGGCGAGATACGCCTTCATCAACCTGAAACCAGTTTGGAAATCTGCTGCACTCTGCGTCAGTATAAACAACAAGAATGGGATTTTCAACATCAATCTGAAGTCGGTCCTTCTATACGGGTTAGAAACTTGCACTGCGCATAAGTCACGAAAAGGATTTCCAACAGCCTGTTGCAGACTTTCATCACTGGCTCCATACAGAAGATTAAAAGGCCAGAAAGAATGAGAAACTAGAAACTCTGTCTGGGAACAAACCAACCAAGAATTTATTGCTCAACAAATATGTAGGAGGAAATGGAGATGGATTGTGCATATGTTGAGGGGGCCGTCGAATGACATCACACACCAGGCCTTCGAGTCGAATCACAATGGGAAGTGACGAGTGGGTCGTGGGTGTGAGGAGGAGATCATGTCAGGAGATTAGACATTGTGGGGATGACAGAAGATAGGAAAAATTGCAGACGTGTTTTTGAGGCCCAATGTTCCGCTTGAAACTCAAGAGAATAATAATAATACAGTTTTATTTACTCAGTCATATTTCGCACACACTTAATTCTCTTCAGCCACTTCGCAGCAAATCTTCTGATGCAAATGATTCATTTTACACTGACCATAAAAATTTGAATCCATATCCTCTTTTTTTAACTAAGCGTTAATCCATTAAAAAACAACTTCCTTATTGTTTTCGATTACTCAACGTCTCATCACTCATCTCGACATTAATTCTTGGTCACATAGGGCAACTATAGTAGATAAAATTCTATATAAAATTAAGGGGGGCGACGGATTCTGACAGTTAACAGTACTGACGCTATCACACCTGTTTCTGTTTGTTAAATAGTATCCGAGAGACTAAAAGATGCGAAATCCCACCCGATACGAGCTGGATTCGAGAACAGCAAATTATGTGAGGATTAAATTGCAACCCTTCGCATCATCATCGAACAGAGCATAGAATAAGAAAAAGGCACAAACAGCACCAATTTTAAGTCACTCCTTATATATGAGCCACAGTCTTGACCTACAAATACCTTCCAGTGGTCCCCTAATTAAAAACCTTTTAAAAAGGTGAGGTGTTAAGACGGACTAACTATTTTTATTAGCCGTGAAGTTATGACTGATACATGCACTGACATAATACACTGACTGGACAGTTTTTGGTCGATGTATTTTGGAGGATCATCCTGGACACACAATCAATCGGATATTGATTGTCTGTCTATAGTTCAAATTTCCGCAGATGTGTAAACGATAGATATACCATGTATTTCGAATAACAAAGCTGTTGTCACATCTAAATCTGACTTTTGTGTCTAAGTGAGTGTTGGGAATATCTCCAAGTGATCAGCAGGGCATAGTGTCGTTTCTGGAAGCGTATTGTAGTTAACAACCAATAAATCACTAACACACCCTGTAAAAGCATATTTGGCTTTGGGAATATTCAGTTCAGTGCCATCATAACATAATCAAAAGTAATTCTAACAGGCTAGTGCATACTTGAGTCAACAGCGGCCTTTGCTGGCTCCATACTGAAGATCGGGTGGCCACAAAGGATTAGCGACACAGAACTCTGGGAACGAACTAGCCAAGAACCTATTGACCGACAAATGTTCAGAAAACGATGGAGATGAGTCGGACACACGTTGAGGAGACCAGTTGTGTGACATCCTGTGCCAGGCCCTAGAGTGGAATAAGAGTGGAAAATGGCTCAAAATCAATACAAGAGTGCCTCATCATCAAAGTTACTACAGGATGAAGTCCTTACACGCCAATTTCTCTTTAATAAACCCCAGGTAACCACAACCGTACTTCTTTGTACCGATACAATTAAAACAAAAATAAAAACAAATGTCAAAGATCAAATTACTTTTATGCTTCATTATTAATTGTAAATATCACATTGCAGTAATCTAAGACAAATTTATTATGAAATGTACAAGTGACGAAATTCTTTCTTGGGGTGTTAATGACAAGATTCTACGTAAAAAGTAAGTAGATAAAGCTTAGAAGATGTGTACATTATTGATTATGCGAAATAAAAAGAAATACTGTCAACGAACAAGTATAGCGTCAACACCTTCAGTTGCTGTAGACGGTTCTATAGTTCCACTAAATGACTGATCCATATCCTTTAAAAGTAATTTGGGATTAGGATCTCTTCCACGGAAGCGGCGAAATAATTCAGCTGGTGGGATGGCACTTCCATAAGTCAAGTATGTTTCACGGAAGCGCTTGAATATTTCCGATGCCTAGAGGGACAAAAAAAGTGGGAGACTACTTTATGCGTAGTTAGAAATATTCTTTTTATAAAAAATATCTTTAACGACAATCAGAACTCTTGTCACTATTTATAGCAAAAATAGGTTGGTGCAGATAACCAAACACAATCTAGTGACAAAATTAACATAAATGTTTTATATGAGCGAGGTGGTGTCAATTTGGTTGGACACAAGAAACTAGCGTGATGTGTCTAGTCCACTGTTTGGTGCAGACAGAATTCTGTCAGTCTAGCACGAAACCTAGGTCCAAGGATTCCTACCGATTGCCTCCAACCACCTAATGTCAACAATTTAAAGTGCACCGTGATGGCCAGTCGCCTAGAATGACGACCACATTTGCAAATCTGATGGATGATAGAATTCAGTCTACACCAAACAAAAGACTAGACACGTTACACTAGTTTACTGACTAGTGTCCAATCAAAAATATCCAATACAGTACAACAGGAGGTCAATCACCAGTCCAAATAGCTCAGGGGTAACGTGGCTGACTGCAGCACTGGTTGACACGTGGTCTTGAATCTCAGAAGCGGCATGAGTTCCTTCAAGGTTGGATATACGCTTTGCTGACATGACTGGTGATTGAGCCAACTAGCACGAAACCTGATTGCCTCCAACCATCTAACATAAACAAAATGTCAATTTCCACAGGGTTGGTGGTGACTGAGGTATGGAAGTCAAGAAACAAAAAAGGAACTTCACTTCCATCTAACAAAACTGTCTTTCAAGCAAAATATACGCTAATTTCCGTAACTCGTGCCTTTTATAAATGATTTGTAGATATCTGAAAGACAACCAGAGAGGAAACATTTAAGAAATAGGAAAATTTAGGGGGCTACAGCATCTCAATAGTCAGTAAATTCAGTGGAATAGCTTATTTTGCCTCTTCGATACATACAGGAATATAAGTAACACAGAAAATAAGAATTACTTCTAATATTACAACATCAGTTTAGATCACCATACAAAACTTTAGCAAATTAATTATAGTTTACTAGATACCACAAGCTTTTTGTCACTACACATGCTGATTCCTTACATAATTTAATACATGATAACTACTTTTTTAAAAATTATGATTTGAACACAACCTCGGTGAGGATTAAGAAATCCCCATTCAATCGTATAACAGAGAAGACTTTCAGTGAAGAGTTACTCCACTGCTTCAGCGATATCATTCTCAAACTGAACACAATAGCATATGTATGAAGAGTTCGAAATTTAACATGTGAATCACCACTGCTTCTGAGGTTTGAAGAAGTTTGATCCGTACTCTTTTAGCAAGATTTCCGAGTAATATGCAGATGATTTGCAAGTTGGGGGTTAGCTCGGTGTCCAGATTGGATCAGGTGTTCCGGGATAGAGCTGCACGGGAATAATGCAAGGGTAAACATTCGATGTTACGTTAGGATAGTGAACGTTGGGTACCACCACCAACAAGCCTAGCTCCAGTCGAGCAGGTGAATTGAGAGATACACACCGATGAGGCCAGCAGTGGTAGCTTATCTTCCACGTTCATGCAGACCCCCCTATTAAATTTCTACCTCCTTATTACCAGTTTACTCTCATTCAATTTTAGCCGAATTCTACCCAATCCCGTCAACTATACTACGTCACTTAATTTACTTATTTAGTCGTTTTAGTTTCTACCCGATTAACGCTTTCCACATTATGTAATTTGTTATCTAAAACTTACAATTCTAATGACAGATCTTGGAAAATATTCCTTTTGTTGTTCAGATAGTTAAATGTATATGCATGAGATTGTACAGCCTGAGAATGATATTGCTGAAAAAAATAACTCTTCGCTGAATGTCTTTTCTTTCATATTGGTGCGAATTCAACACCGAGAAATGTCACATAAAAATTGTAACAGTAAAAGCAGAGGACAAAAAGCATGGTTAAAAAAATAATGAGCAGGTGAGCATTTCTATAAAGCATCTTTATGAGAATACTCGTCACTTTATGTTACTTCTAACTGTTAGAAGAAAAAGAAGCAATGAAGTATACTTGGAAGTAACTGCAATCCCTTCATCAAAACACCTTACCTTATGCGATTCAGACAGCCAATTAGCATCTTGTAGTGAACACAATACATCCTGTAAAAGAATTCTACGCCAAATTCGATAATACAATAAACCCGCTTGTGAATTAGGCCCAAAAAGTTCAGTGCATGAGCACGGCCATTGATCATCTGGATGTAGAGGATATGGCATATGCATTTTCCAGAAATCTTTGTGTAATGTTGACCATTTTGTTTCTGATTCTTTATTCGACCAAAGGGCTAAATCAAATCTAGACTCGTACAGTTCTCGAAGAATATACAAAGACATAATACGTTTAGGCGGAGTTCTTAAACCAACAGCGGCTAAATAAAATAAAATAAATAAATACACAAGAAATAACTATTTTGTATGTATAAAAGCCATGAATACAGTTAGTTAGCTTGTTAAATAGAATAGGCATCATTGGTGCACTCACTGAATTATGAGTGTACTGCTTTATTTCAGTAATGCTTGACTGGTAAACATTTGACTGACTAAAATTTATTCCTACTTTCCACCAGTTTGTCTTTAACTAGTACTTCGGATTGAAGCATTCAGGAGTGTAGTATGAAGAGACTTAGGCAGCTCGCTTATATTCTTGAGACATTCTTTTTCTCTTTGATTGATCACTTAACTTGGAATCTTTGTAGGTAAACATTGCAAATGAATTAATTTAGTTGATGAAGCAACGAATTCTAGTCGACTGTGGATAGGAGAACAATGTTGACTAAATTAAGATTTAAGTTGACGAACAGTCAATGATAAATTATAGTAAAGTAGTGTAGCACTGATTCATGAAGTCTCTAGCCGTCGGAGAGTTATGTAGGGAAGTGGCATAAGATTAGACTGTAAAAGAGCTAATTGGGTCATTAAACCAAAACTTTGAATCAGTCCACTAACTGACTGACTGATTTCAACATCGAAGTTTGCACACAAGTTCAGCAGTTCAAGTTGCCACATTCCATGTAGCACACAAAGGGAGATAAAAGAGAAAGGTGAGGAAGAAAGACTAGTAATATGGAAGACCAAGGGAGTTTTATTGGATATGGCAAATCGCAAAAGAGTGAATACATCATTGAGAACAACTTTGAGCCATAGAATAAATGGTTTCCAGCCATTGGTTTTTACCATCTCGAGGACCAAAACCAGGAAGTCTTCATCTTCCTACGTGGCTGGCTTAAACTATATGTTGTTGGTTTCATTGACTGATGAAGCCATGTTTTGGTTTGACCACTACTGACTCTTTTCCAACCTGATCCATCGTGTGTCAGCTAACAGTACCCGTCGAGGGAGGAATCAGTTTATAGAAAACTTGACAGCTAGTCTGAGCTACATAGGGGGTAGTAGGCCTCCTAGTTAAGGTCCTCGGGATTCTAAGAGCCAATGACAGGAGACTATTGGTGATATGGCTTGAAATCATTCTCAGTGGCAGAGATGTACTCACTCTTTGTGATCTGCCGTATCCAATAGAACCCTATTGTTTTTTTTTTCATTTTACCATTCTTTCTCTCTGACATTGCTGCTCATAGTCGTTCATTCGCATCTCTTCTTTTCCGCTCTTTTGTCTTCCTTTGTGTGGTAAGTCGAACTGCTGTACTTTTGTACAAACTTCTGTGTGGAAATCAGTCAGTCAGAGGGTTTACAATACTAACTAGTCACCCCGAGAATGAAATAGTTTGAGCAGGGAGTTGAAATAATGACCCATTCGGTTAATGAGCCACATCACAGGGCAATTGATGATTAACAACATTTGAAAAAGGAACAATAATAATAAGCATATTGTGGTTAAAAGATTAAATTTTATGGTTTTTTTTAAAGTATGCAGAAACCAAGCGAACAAAACAAAAAGCTTCAACAACTTACATGGTTGAAAATGAGCCTTTTGATTATTTGGCCCACGTTGTTGTCGTATTGAAGGCAATGCATTATTAACGCCTATGCTATAGCATAGATCAGACATTAGGAAACGACTATCCAATGCCATGAAATGAGGAAAACTATACAACTCATGATGTGGTACACGGCATGCAACATATTGAAGGCACGATCCAAAGGAGGACATAAATGAAAGTAAAGCCTAAAAACGTGAAATATTAATTGAAGTATGAGTGGACATACAAAAAATGCAAAACATTATACACAAACAGAGAAACGCTTAAAGTGATTATGTGTAAATAGAGACCACGTAAATAAAGCTGTTTGGCTGGTATTGAGAATCTAGTATGCATGTTTTGTCCTACTTGGGACTTAATATCTGGAGGTGAATATATGCCAACCAGACAACCAGTCTCAAATAGAACAAAACGCGCGACCTATCCTTAAGTCAATAAGATAGGCACTATAATCTTATTACTCAATGTTGCTAACTGATGGCAACAGTTTATTTCCTGTTTTCCGTAGATGAGAGTAGGTAATAAGAGGATAGACAATAAAATGAGTTCATAACAAAGAATAACTTCAAATACTACTATCTTTAAAGTATACTGTTCACTTTCAACAGGATGTTTACAGTTACCTACAAAGTTCAGACTAAAAAAGCATTTTAATATGCCATATTGATATTAGATTGTTGCAGGCAATCGGTAGGAAGCCTTACTCCACCTAGGTTTCATACTAGTTGGCTCAATCACCAGTCAAGTCAGCAAAGCGTATATCCAACCTTTAAGGAATTCATGTCTCTTCTGAGATTCAAGCCCACGTGTCAACCACTGCTGCAGTCAGACACGTTACCACTGAGCTATTTGGACTGGTGATTGACCTCCTGTTGTACTGTATTGGATATTTTTGATTGGACACTAGTCAGTAAAATAGTGTAATGTGTGTAGTCCTTTGTTTGGTGCAGACTGAATTCTGTCGTCAGTCAAGTTTGCAGTGTGGCAATCTGCAACACTAGGTGATGCGGGTTCCAATCTAAGGAGGGACATGTGTTCCGTGAAGGTTGTAGATACCCCTTGCTGACGAGTAGCAACTAGCACAAAACCTAGGTCTAAGATTTCCTGACGATAGCCTCCAACCATCTAATATCAACAATTCAAAGTGCATCGGGATGGCGAGTCACACAGAATGGTGACCACACTGCAAACTTGACTGATGACAGAATCCAGTCTGCACCAAACAAAGGACTAGACACACTACGTTAGTTTACTAACTAGTGTTCAATTACATATGCCTTAATAAGAAATATTTTTTCAAGATCTAGATTATATTATATTATTATTGTTTCCTTGGGTTCCTAGTGGAACACAGGGCTTCAACTGCACGCCTCTACTTGCTTCTGTCTTCTGCTGTACTTTTCACTGGCATCCATGTTAGTCCATACTGTTTCAAATCTTCTTCACAGTATCTCCTCCATGTCACCCTTGGACGTCCCACTCGCCGCTTCCCTTTCGGGTTACACTCGAGCACTGGCCTGACGCGCGATGTCACCCAACGGCCTCCTCAGCTCAGCGAGTGTCCAATCCATCTCCACCTTCTCCTGCATATTTGTTGGGCGATTGGTTCTTGTTTTGTTTGTCCCCATAGTTTCTTGTTGGTGATTCTTTCCGACCATCTGATCTTCAGTATAGAACGAAGACAGTTGTTGATAAAGGTTTGCAACCTGTTGGAAATATTCTTTGTGATCCGCCAAGTTTCTGAACCGTAAAGAAGAACTGACTTGACGTTTGTATTGAAAATCCGAATTTTGTTGTTGATGGTGAGGAGTGACGAAGATTTCCAGATTGGTTTCAGGTTGATGAATGTGTTTCTCGCCTTCCTGATTCTCGATTTGACATCTTCGTCCGTTCCTCCTGTAGTTGAGACAACGCTGGCTGCCTAGATAAGTGAATGAAGTAACCTCTTTCAAATCCCTCCCGTTGATGGTGATTGGCGCTGGATGTTGCTGCTGCCTTAATTTAAGTCGATGAATAAAAAGTTGTAGTTACATCTATCACTCTTCGTCATCTTCCAGATATTGAAACTTTTGGCTAATATTCATCTAACTGTTGACTCACATGTACATCTGCGCTCATTACAGTTTCGCAACGTGGTATGGATTCAGCAAACAACACACACACTGGGTACTAAATGAGCGCAACGGTGATGAGATAACAACAGGTGTTTTCACTAGGGAATACAGCAGTCATCTTCTCTGTTTTTATGCGCGATTTTGTAAAGTCCGACAAATTGAATTAAGTGCCTATACTGATCACCTAATCTTTCGTTGTCCAATGATGTTAATAGAACACGTAAACGAAGATTTGAAACCAGTAACCATGATGCTTTTTACAGAATTTATTATGTCTACCAGTGGAACAACAACAACAGTATTAGCAATTACACACATATTGTATAAACATGTCCACATTACTGAACAACCCTCAATATTGATAAAGAAAAGAGTGAATAAGGCGAAAATAATTGCCTGGGGGAAACTTACACCGAAAGAAATACCAAGTGTTTCACTTGATGGATTCAAACTGCCTAAGAGATAAACAATTGGATATTGAGAGGATCCAGAAAGTATACAACTATCACTTGCAGATAAATTATTTCTTGCTGCCACTGGAGCAAATATATTACCTCCGACAGGAACTGAACGACCGTTTCTACAAATTAAGGAGAAAAAATAGAACTAAAAGAAGAAGAAGAATGATACAGACAATTCGGATACAGTTGACCTCAACGATTATACACTCCGAAAATCTTCAGAAGTATGATTTTTCAATACAAATGAACCACCTCCTAGCATAATTCACCTACAAAACAAACAACCTGGTAAAATCTAGTTTTCCACTTTCTTCAAAGTTCAATTTTAAAGAGGAAAATCATCATCATTCATCATTTGTACACTAAGGAGTCAGGGATGAAAATTCAAGATAGTTTAACATAAGAAAATCAAACGAATCAAAATATAGAATATGTGACTTAATTGCACTGTGTATCAGATATGGTGTCAAGTTGGATACACATTATGACCTGAAAGCTTTCAATTTCCATTCGAAACTTTGTAGCTTACAAATAACGCCACTAATTCTATGCATTACCAATTTCCTCACCTATCTAGGCAGTATTCAAGGCGTTTGAAGTGATTTGACATTCTAAAGTGTATCCTTCAGCAAAAGATGATGATAAGAATGACTCCAAATGAACGAAAGAGCCATCTGGTTCTAAATCAATTCGATATAGCTAGAAAACACTACTCACATCTATCAGCAATTCGTTTTTATTCATTCTTTGAGTTTCGAGTGGAACATAGGGCTTCAAACTTTGAAGTCTAACTAGCACTGGTCGTCTTCTTAGAGCACAGGGTAGCTCGACTGGCACTAACATTCCTTCTTTCTTGGGCTTACTTTGATCTGGTAAAACAGGCAAGATTTAGAAGTCGGCCTCCAGTCGAGTTCGTACCGCCTGCGCGGTTGCCAAATATTCCTACCACTGAACCGTCGACGCATTTGTGGTATGTACTGTCTTTGAATTACAGTTTAATTCGGAAAAATATTCCGGATAGTTTGCAGGGAATAGCCTGCTTACCAACTACTACTAAGCTCGAAAAGGATCTGGCTATATATCTTCTCGTAGCCAGCAGGAATGAGAGCCACTCTATCTGGCATTTGATACGAGGATACAGGTACATCTCATTAAGTATTTGCGTCTTCAGTAAGTTTCAAATCTAGTACATATATGCCATATATGTCAGTCAACTGAGACCTATGGATCAAGTCTGTAACCATGACAATACGCTTTCGACTTGGCGCTGGACAGTTTATGACAATCAAAAGAAAATCATGTTTGTAGGGAACCATGGCTTCGTTTAGTCAGTCTTTCGGGATTGCAAAGCTGAACTTCTTATCACAAAACTTATTTTAACTTCCAAGTTTGCCCACAGACTGATATCAGTTAGGGAACTAGCGTAGAATCGGACCCTGGATGGGTGGCCACATTTCAAACTCGACTGATAGAAATTCGTCTACGCCAAACAAAGGACTAGACGCATGATACTGGTTAATTTCCAATCAAAGCAGATATAATTGCAAGACAGAATATACTAGTGAATGATATAATTAGCCAAAAATAGCTCATGTCGACCAACAGTGTTTGTTAGCCAGATCTAGCTGGGTCTCAAATGAACAAAACTGTTGTTCAGTGTTGGGGTTGCTTAGATCTGGCTAACAAGTACTACTTGGTTGACGCGACTGGTTTCCTATCAATCATGTCAGTTAGTTATGCATGATGTAAGAATTTCAATAATAACAGCATAGCAAACCTTTGATGACTTTCACGTAAAGTGATAAGAATTATCTATACCATATACCATAAAGGCATATAACATATAGACTACAACTCTGTGCAGGAATCTATACGCCAACTTGTCTTATATTTCCAGTAGACTGTAACAGGATACAGAAAACATGACGTACTCACCTAGAAAACGGATCAATAATTATTTCACCAAGCAGTGTACCATCTGACATGTCTTCGACATGATATACCAATTTTTCAACAATATATGACATATCATTTTCTGAAGATCTTGGTATTTCAGTAGTCAACTTTAAATGGAACATTTCTGCTAGCTCAGAGAAGACAGTATGCAGGTAATTCAATAAAGAGCCGTTTGGTGGACTGACCAGTGTTTCAAAGCGTGTATAATCAGCAGCATAATTATATTGTTCCAATGCATAATCTACATCCCAAGCTTCTAAAGTTTTGCCTTTATAAAAATAAACGAACAGATTAATAATTAGTAATTGCAGAAAGTTAATGCTATATTCACGAAATAGAATCTATTCAAGTCTCTTAGTTTCGTGATGGTACTTATTATAATGCAACTTAGTTATAATGTGCAATTTTTTTTGACTTATTATACTACGCCGCATACCTGATAGATACGCAAGGGCTTATGACAAATTTAACTAATTGAGCCGAAGTAAGTAGGTAGATAGGATTGGATACACGTTGAGAAGATCGTTGAGTAACACCACAATACACGCCAGACCCTTCCTGAATGGAACCCAAACGGGAAACGACAAGTTGGGCGTCTGAGGGTGACGTGTAGGAGATTGTATGAAGAGACAGTCTTGGAGCCAGCCAAAGAGGACTGCAGAGAAGAGGATGGAATGAAGATGTACTGTCGAAGCACTATGTTCCACTCGAAACCCAGGGGAATAATAATAAGTAATTACACATAATCCGAAAACCTGAGTCTGATCTGAGAATTCCATATTAATTTGTTGATTAGATATATCACACAGTGAAACAGTATTATTTACTGGATGACGTTTCGAACACAATGAATAGTAAATTGTGTTCGAAACGTCATCCAGTATATAATACTGTTTCACTGTGTGATATATCTAATCAACAAATTAATATGGAATTACATACTGCCACAGTGCCCAAGTTTAACTGATCTGAGAATAATTGAGTTTTCAATGTAAAACTTGCACAGAAGTGCACCAATTCGAGTTACCGCTCTACACATAGCACATACAGAACTTTAATGAACGGAAATATACAGGAGAAAGAATAACCCCAAGAGGAAAACATGATTTGATAGATGTCGGAGAATACAAAGAGTTACTGCGTCTGTACATTTGAGAACAATTTCCAGCCATATCAACAGTAGTTTCAAGTCATTGGTTCTTAGCGTCTCGAGGACAGCAGCCAGTTAAGCAGTCTACACCTCCCTACATGGCTGACTCAAACCTATAGTCAAAGACTTGATGGACGCAGTATTATTTTTTGGTTTGACCACCACTAACTCTCTTTCAACCCAATCCTGTGTCGACTAACATAGCTCGATGACGTAGGCAGTGGCTGGGTATGCGTAGCACATGTCTTAACCATCTCAATGGATGCAGCTTTACAACTCCATAGAACCAATTTCCCTCTTCACCTAACACTGTATGCCTGACGTTAATGTTACTCACCACTTATTATACCAATTAACACTGAAGACAGAACGCAAACATCTGTGGTCAAAGACAGCCAACTTCTTTACCTATTCCACTTTCCACGGCCAAATCTTACAGCCATAAAGGAAGACGGAGCGAACTGCTGAGCACCCCACACGTCATATGGTCTTTAGTCGAATATCACGTCTACACAAGAGATGACGAAGCTTTGCAAATACCAATAGCTTGGCTTATGCGATTTACAATTATGAAATGCTAATGGGAATGATATTATAACTCAGTACAATAACCTCTTATTCCCAATGACTGCAGTAGCATAGTCGAATATAACAAGCTACGTGTAGATAGGAAATCATGCTTCTCGGTGACTGAGTGACTTATCCTGATGGGTAACAACATAAATAAGATCACGGCCATCGGAAATTTTTCACAGATAGCAACCAAACACTTAGAACCTTTTGCACTTCGTTAAATAAAAAAGCATATAACTGACAATATGGACTTGACTAACTCAAACTTCAACATTTTAAACAATTCACTCTTGATATGAATGGTTTGGGGATTAAATGCCAACAAGGTCGAAAGGAAGTCAAATGGTAAATACCAGATATCCAAGCATGAAGTGGTTGGAATTTAATCTTCAGGACAAAACCGTCGGAAAGGTTTTCCCGACCCACTCCACACATTTTATATCTACACAAATATTAAAATCCAGTCTGAATGAAAAGTAACCGTGCAAAGAATTCTCTTCAGGTCCTTACAGTTACCATTTGTTATCATTATAATAGCATACAAGTATACGACACACACCTTTTCTTTACTTAAAATGAGTGCGGATTGAAAATCAGTTCAGCTGCAGATTGTAAACTAATAAGCTTATTGATACAGATAGCTGCTATCAGACAAACACAGAATGTGACTTAAAAATCTAGCAACTGATGAACAGACAGCACAAAACGACAGTCTGAACAATAATGCATTAGTTTAGTTACAATCTAAGCTAAGGGATCTTCGTACTAGGTCCTACGCTTATACACATCTGTCTGTCATTAGGCGACGGTAAACTGTTTAGGTTAATTAGCCATCAATCCAACTGGGAACTGATTAGAATATAGTCACAAAGGAGATTCATAGAGTATACATTTTGAGATCTATAAGTTTGGTGACTTTATAGCATTCTTTTTTTCTCTTCTACAAGCATAAAACAATCGATTTTAAGAATTTTATACTCCCTAATACCAACAGAAGTGTACCATTTGTAGTATTACTATTATTCATCCTTTGAGTTCCGAGTGGGACTTAGGGCTTCAGTGGCGAATTGTGATTCCACTAGTTTCTCAGTCATCTCTTTCAAATGGATCCACATCTGTCCACAAGTACTCAAGGTCACTACACTGCTATTTCCATAACAGCATCCAATTAGTTTGTTCCATCACAACATACACAAGACATTAGACTGAGTGTGGTTTTTTCGCAGTCGGAAAATACACATGTTAAATCAGAGAGTACAGTAGTATCTTTCCAACTGAACTACAATGACTACAACTAACCTAAATTATCCTACATGCCACACACTCAAATGACTGACAGTAATTGCTTAAGTAACTCCTATAACATGCACTTCATCATAACAAACACGCTTGTATGCCATTCCAATAAAGTTACCAAACATTTCTATAGCGAAAATCAATCAGAGACCTGAAGATTTATTCATAGTTAAGGAAGATGACGGAAAAGTCTTAACGAATTAAAAAGCAAGTACGATCAAAATACAATTAAAACCAATTTTAAAATGCGCAACGCTTTACCAGGTAGATCTAGATTCGCATTTGCCCATTCTCTCAATAATTTGAAGTCACGTTCACCACTTTGTTTCAAAATGGTTCTGAAAGGCTCAAGAATATCATTGGTCAAACTGTCAGGAGATGATGGTGAACATGCATAGGGTGAGCTCCAAACTACAGATAACCAATCTTTACAACCAAGATGTTTCGCTAAAGATGCTCGTAAACGGCGAAGGTGTTGTATGCGGCCATCATTAGATGCATGTAAACCAGTTGATGGACCAAAATACCGATCACTTGCACGCCGAACCCAATATTCCCATACCAACCGACGTAACTGTGAGAAACAAATTTCGAGTAAGGCGATACGGATTAGGCAAGTATACACAATTCATATTAACTACGTGTGGTTAAATAACGAAAAAAGACACCTGAACACAGAATTATGTAAACGAAAGTTGTCGAACTGTGAACTCACCTCACTATTGCTACAATGTTTCAAGAATGTACTGACTATTTCGTTCGAAGATAAATTGATATGCATACCAGCTATATGTCCACCGTCTTCTTTACCACCCAGAACTGCAGGCAGCCAATATGGTGCTGATGGAGCTAAATCTGACTCAGCAACTCTTATATCTGTAGCACCTGTAAGAACATCTAAATATGACGGTGTTGATATACGACCAGAAAACCTTGAACTTGAATTTTGAGGTGTTGATACTGAAGCTGAGGATGCAACCATTGCTTGAAACTGGACCTCTTCTTTATCTATATTTGTATGTACATCGTGTATAGCTTCTAAAGACTTCGGAGAGTGTTGTGAAATAGTGTTTGAGGATGATCTAGAGTTTCCTATTTCAGAAGCATCTCCTTTGAATTCGGAGAATGAAGGTTTATTAGGAGGAAGTAATAATTCAGTACCCATTAACCAACATTCATAGATCCATGCATCCAACAAGCCTGAAATGAAATAATTCCCCTTTGAAATAAAGAGATGTCTTTCAAACCAAAAGGATAGTGCGGCATTTCACAATTCTTAATCTTTACTACGAATCAAAATGCATGATATATAAACCTCATGATTTCATTTCTTAAGTGAGTATCACTGTATGATGAACTTACCTTTAGTTACAACCATTTACCAAAAATATCTAACAGTCTCACAGTTCACAACTAAAACTAAGCCTAAAGGATCAAGTTTATCTAGTATTAATTCAATTGGAAAATAAGCACAAATTCTGTCAAATGTACTGCCGAAACAATCGATTTTTTTGAAAAGAACAATAAATTGTAGCATAGGATGAAACCTGGAACAAATTGTTCGACATACCAACACCGTAGAACTGTGAAGCATTAATTTAGGCAGTAGACTGACTGGTTTCAACATAGAACTTTGCACTGATTTGCAGCAGTTCGAGTGACCACACTTCACTTAGCACACAAAGAAAGAGAAGATAGTTAAGAGATTCAAAACAGAGATAATAAACGGCAAAAAGAATAGTAAGAACAACATAGTTTTATTGGATATTATGTCACAAGGGATGGATGTATCTGCGCCATTATTGAGAACGATTTCGAGCCATAGCACCAATTGTCTCCAGCCATTGGTTTTTATCATTTCGAGGACCAAAACCAGGAAGTATACACCTTCCTACGTGGCTGGCTTAAACTAAATGTTGTAGGTTTCATTGACTGATGAAGCCATGTTTTGGTTTGACCGCTACTGGCTCTTTTCCAACCTGACCCATCGTATGTCAGTTAACATTGCCAGTCGAGGAAGGCGTCGGCCAGGCATACGTAACACTAAGGTAAGTAATGTTGACGTTAGGCGTAGAGTGTTGGGCAAAGAGGGAAAATCAATCGAAGAGGCTATAAAGTTACATAGATTGAGATGGTTAGGCCACGTGCTGCGCATGCCTAACCATCGTCTCCCCCGACGGGCATTACTAGCTGATATAGGTGCAGGTTGGAAAAGAGTAAGTGGTGGCCAAACAAAAACATGGCATCAGTCCATGAAATCCTTGACAGTTAAACTGAGTCAGGTAGGGAAATGCAGACTTCCGGGTTGGGTCCCTCGGGACTCTAAGAATCAATGGCTGGAGACAATAGGTGACATGGCTCAAAATCGTTGTCAATGGCGCAGATGTATTCAGTCTCTTTAACCTTCATACTCCTTTCTACCATTACTCATTCTGTTTCACTCTTACATTTGTCAAAACTCTATTGATTCCCTGCACTCATCTTCTTGTCTACCTTTGTGTGCTATTTGGAACGTGGCAACTCGAACTGCTGCACTTCGGTGCCAAGTTCTATGTTGAATCCAGACAGACAGACAGACAGATACGTAACACATGTCCTAACCATCCCAATCAATGCAACTTCACAGTCTCGTCGATTGATTTCCCCTCAATATTGCTCACCCTGTTATACCACTTCACTCGGGAAATATAACGCAGGCAGCCGTTTCATGTCTTTCAATCTCAGTGGCCAGATCTCACACCCATAAAGGAGGACGGAGCAAAATGCTGAGCAGTACACCCGCCCTTTGGTCGATAGCCAGCTGGATATCACGTCTACGCCAGAGAAGGCGTAAACTGGCATATGCGAAACGAGCTTTCTGTATCCGTGCAGAGATCTCGTCAGTGATTAACCCCTTAGGACTGATGCTACTAAATGACTACTAGAACATAGGTCCGAACCCAGCTATGCCTGGAATTAAGAGCAGCCAATCAGGCAGTAGCACTACTCTTTACACATGAAGCTCACTGAAGAGTGCACTAAAATGCATGTGGTTTCTGAGCAACGTTTCATTTTATCCCACATCTTAACGAAGATAAGTAAAACAGAAGTTACACAATATAAAGAATGAACAGACAATGGGTGACTGACTGACTTATAAATCAAAGTAAAACTTTTCGTATACGTTCCATCAGTTCAAGTTGCCCTATTTACAAAACACTACATGAGAAAGGGAAGACCATAATTGTTATAATAATACAACGCATAAAAATGTGAACAAGAGGTGATAGTTTGATGAATAGTGACAAAGATGATAAATGCAAAACACTTCAGCCATTTCACTAAGTTTTCAATAACTCACTCCTGGTATCCCAATACATCCAGTCAGCCAAACTACATATACCTAGCTGGATCGGAACAACAGTTAAGGATTCGTGCCACAGAATACCCTCCAACTCGACTTTGATTCATCTCAGATGACGTCCTGACCATCTCAGTCGTCAAGCCTAGCTATACGGTGGACTGACTTATCTTACTCAGATTTTTAGCCTCAATATTACTTATCATATATTTTATCTCATACTGGCAATAGAAAGAAGACACCTGTGGTCACAAACCTGTTATCCTTCGGCGTCTTCCACTTTCATCTATCTTGTTGTAAAATCTCAAGTTAAGACAAAGCAAACTACTGTGTAGCCGAACATCACACCTATAACGAATACTGTGGTGGGTTCTATCACCTACCAGTTTATTCAGTTGAATGTCAATAGTTGGCAGACCTGGTTCATTGTAGTGTAACAGCAGAAGGCAAGACACAGAAGCCAATGTATATTCATTAGTCAAACCGCTGTTTATATATATATATATATATATATAGTTTATATTCGTTAACCAATCACTGAGCATTTGATTTTGGTTTACATTAGACAACATGAAACAGAATGTTCAAATATACATAGTATTCTGTTGCTAACGCAGTGTTGAACTGTATGAAAAGTATTCTGTCTCTAACAGCAAATAGAATGTTCAAATAGACATATCGTACTCTGTTGTTAATGCCGTATTGAACTGTGGGAATATGTGAGAATAATATTCCGTTGGAACACATTGTCCGTATCACACCACCACAGTAAGAGCACGCCATGACATGCAACAATAGGAAACCAAAATCTTAGTCTAATGAACAACACGGAGTAAACTGCTTAGAAAGGATTTTTACATACTGGGTAAAGCTCAGACTAAATGTGTGAATGTTTACTAGACTATTTGGTTGTTAAGGTTAAAGTGAAGCGCGATTCAATAACCCACACTTCAATTTTTAGTGTAAAAAACCCCCACATAACTGAACGATTAAAAAATCTCAAAATGCGTTTCGTCTTAAAAAAGTTAATTATACTACACTTTGAGTGTTATCCAAACGTGAACTCGTTGCAAGTACTATTAATGAATAAAACATTTTTGAGCGAACATATATGTATATATATATATATATATATATATATATATATATATAATGCACAAACTGCAAACAAGAAACAGATGAAACCTTTCCTTCAAGTTATTTATTTGCAAGTCTATAATCCTAGAAGAAATTTATGCCCACTGTCTATACACATTAACAAACCATCTGACTGTCCGATAGGAGCACTTTGTTCATGTTCATTTACTGAAAACAAACTGCATACATTATGAGCGCCACACGGCAGTAACAGACCAGAAATGTAAGCAAAATTATCAAAAGCACTCAAAGGACAGTTCATTACTTCACATTTCTTCTATAAAGAAATGAAGGCAGCAAAACAGCACTATCGCCACTGATTTCGAATCTCAACCTTATCTAATAGTCTTGAGCCACCTGATTTGATTGGTTACCCGGACCACATATAGGGTCACATGCATTAACAGATGCTAACCCTTTATCCCATAACCATTGGTTAACCATCCTTCCGCTTACTTCACCCAATCCCAGTTAGCAAACACTAAACGGTATGGGAGCGAAAGAGATGAAATTCGCAGCACATGCACAAATTGCAAGAGCCGATTTCCTATGATGACGTCACTTACTGAAAGATGTTTTCTTCATCCACACATTTAAGTTCTGCGACTGGGTGAACTTTAGTGTACTAGAGAATTATCCAAAATGTCATTTTCGCATGCGAAGAATGCATCATCTATAAATCTATGGTGAAATACCAGCTTTGTGATAAGCTTAATCACATGATTTTATCAGAACGAAGCTCAAATATTCTCCTCATACATTTATCTCTCAATTAATATACACGCAAGACGTAAAAATGGCCGCATTGTATTGTAGTGGGGATTTCTGAATTACAAGATTTAATATCTTGTTAACGTTTCAAGAGAGACGCTGCTGTTATTTCAGATGCAAACAATACCCGTAAAACTGGTAGCAAATCACCACCTAGTAAGCTAGCGATTCCATAAATAAGCTTCACAATTAATAATTATTGTAAACCATGACTTAAAAACAGCGGCAAATTGTAATGGAGCCGCAACTAAGGCTTTTCGAATGCTATGGGCGATTCGAGAGGCTTTCAAAGGATTAGACAAGGGTATTTTCCAAGTACTCTATGCAACATATGTAAAACCACATCTAGAATACTGCATACAAGCGGCGAATCCATGCTTCAAAAAGGAGGTACATATTCTGGAAAAAGCACAAAGAGTAGGAACCAAATTAGTTAGTGGTATCTCACACCTTCCTTATGATATGAGGATGGAGCATTTAAATCTCTTCTCATTATCATACTGAAGCAGGAGAGATAACTTAATTTTAGCATACCGTATATTAAAGGGTGATTTAGAGATTGATCTTTCATACCTTTTCTCTCCCTCTAGGATACATTTACGAGGTCACAACAGGAAGGTGCTCAAACCGAGGACGATTAGAATACGTGTGGAATTTAGATTCTCCCACAGAGTAGTCAACGAGTGAAACTCCCTACCTGATTCATTAGTAACATCTCCATCGGTGAACGCTTTCAAAGAGAATTTAGACCTCTGCAGAGATATATTTTGCAAGGATTAACACAGGTAAAAAGAGCCTACTATCCTTATCATCTGAATCTGAGAATGAGTAGAGATGAGGTGTAAAAACTATTCAGGTCATAGTTGTAAAGTGCAAAATACATACGTACTATACACAAGTAATCTTGACTACTAAGACTGGCAGATACAATCTCATTAGATTACACCGTAATATCTAGTTTGTATATTACCAAGACATATCCTACAATGAGAAGCTTAATCCAGAGACTTTAGCAAAGACAAGACTGAGGAACTCTCTAATTCCAAGTATTGAGACCTAGTAATTGCAAACTAATTCAAAAGAAACGACACTTTATATTCAACTAATCACCTTTTTCATATTCATCCATACTGGAGTTCGTACGTCTAAGTGTTAGAAGAGCTTCATAAATAGAAGAATCACGGCAAAGATATTCACGTCTGGCAGCTTTCAATTTCTGGTACAGGCGTGACACTACCAGGGTCCAAATTGGGTCTTCTTTTACACTGGTGAGACAGTTTAGATTGCAGAAGGCCTGCTCAACAGGAAAAGATGCTTGCTCAAGAGCGGATATGATGGTGGTATCATTTTTCATAAGCTTGCCACTCTGGATAGAGTCTGATAACTTTGATAAGGAAACTTGATAATTCATAATTAGTTTGGAAATTCCTCCGAACACTCTGTCAGGTTTCAGGTCCTCTAAACTACTCGTGTTAAGGAAAAAATGCAAACAAATTTTACTTTGAAATGCTGAGTGGCTTCAAGATATTTTGCGATACATACGATTCGCAAGGTATCTCCGGTATAAGATAGTATGATGGTCCATGTTCATTTTTGTAGCTTCCATAAGGACTGTAATTCCTGAGATGTGTAACGCTCCTCCGGAAAGAGTGTCGCAAGGTCAGCAGACGGGCCACCATACTTGGCGCTTTCAAACAATAACCTAGACTTGACCTACAGAAATCTCAACTTCAACTGAAGCAATAATATGACTAAAGTTTCTTTATTTTGAAAGTTCATATGACAGAAAGGGGAGCCAGATTTCCAAGAATGTGTTTCAGTGAAAAAAGTTTTCTCAGTTAATGATTAATTTCCTTTCCAGATCTGGAATGTCTACAGAAATCCTCAAATGTATGCACATTTGTTAGGCTACTTTCTGTTGTATAACCTACAGATTTAATGTGCAGATGTTCTAAACTGCCCATCGTAGCCCCTTCATACTCCTTCTGAACATCCATCACAAAATTATCTGCATACAGATGACGGAAAATTTAAAAGATCTACATTCACCAACATGAAACGAAGCTTCTAGATTACTCAACCAAGGTTCACCTTTACCAAAAGTGAGTATCTGGTCTCTTTTTGGGTTATTCTGGCCAACTGACTGACAAAACTCCACGTTGGTGTTGTTGTACACCTTCCATGACACCGAAGTTGAAGGAGAGCTAAAATTAGTAGACGAAATCAACCTAACATTAACTTAATAAACATCTGGCTATCTTGAGAGTGTTCTAGGAGTATTAAGTTTCGTTTCAGGCAGTCTTGGATGTCACTTTGCCTTTCTCATATGTGCAGTTTACACACAGAGTCTTAGCCTGTAGTTTAGTGATACTCACGAGATAATTTTTAAAATGTTTTCCCCAAATACCCTTGACTTTCATTCTATTTAATAATGCTGTTCGACAAAGCAAACTGATAAATATCTGAGTTCTTTTGATTTGCGTTTCGTTACCAGTATTCAAAAATCAGGTGGTGTACTGATTGACTGGATGGAAAATGCTTATTACGTTGAATAAGGTTTATTAATTGTGCCATGTCTACAGGCTAATTTATTCATCTTGTAAATTTTAATGGTTGTACTGCTTTTAATTTTTGCACAACAGGACTTTGCTATTTATGTGTGTCCCATTTTATAATCGTAATCGCTTCATTTTAATTAACCTTTCATACAGTGGCTGATGACTTTCTTGCAACTTCCCACCTTCTAAGCACATCAACCATCTCCATGGCTCCCGCATGTGGAAGCCCACTTCGCTCTGTGAGGTATCTGCAACAATTACCTCAGATGGCACAAGGGATTCCTGCACGAAATATGAAGTACGGGCACAATAAGCACTAACATTAAAGCGACAGAAAAGAGGAAAACCCAGTCTCACAAAACCAGAGATAGAAAGCTGACGAAGATTTCGGCACTTTTCCACAGGTCACCCATGATGGAGTTAGCAGATATATCTCACAATTACCGGGGTATTTCTACAGCACCGTCCACTAGCTCCCATAGAGAACTTTCCCCTACCAGTAATTCGTCGGGTTTTGAAGAGTGACTTACACGACAAAAAGGTATTGAGATCTGCGCAGTATCAAGAAGGAGACTCGAGTACTTCCTACAACCGTGCGTCCTTCAGCTGCAGTAAACCTTACTCAAAGTTCTGGAGGAGGCTATCGAAATTGTATCGTAGATATTGTGGTGCCACTGCTCAAAGATGTAGTCGTCCATGCACCCTCAACCCTAGTCAGCAGAGAGCTGTGTAAACCACGCGTGATGGCAACTAATATCGCTGGAGGAACTTTGCCTCATTTTTCTTCTATGTTATCGATAAAATCTTTAGGATGATACTAGAGCCGAAGCTAGAGAGATTCACCCTACAGCGGAGGGGGTTGGCGACCTACATCTCTAAAACCACGTGCTGCCTTTTTCACTCATTACAATATATGGTAGAAGATGACATGACCTTAAGATCAGATTTCACCGTTCATTCCCCTGGGTTTACATCGTTCCCACCGGCATTATTGTTATGCATCTCTTGTAACATCAGCATTCGCGGGTAGAGGCTGGCAAGATTAAGATGATAGATTCTACCTCACGACTATCCACCATCCAGGTTTTCACTCATAGCCTCTCAGCCTGGCGTATTGAAACCCCTGCCACTTCAACTCCTTGCCCGGTCCTACACACAATACTTGATGAAACCCTTAGAAAGGCACATCCGTATTCAGCAGGCGTGATCTGATACGTGCATATAACCAGATCTCAGTACATTTTGAAAATGTTCTGAGGACAGCAGGGTTTTGATCTGTTTGAATTTCTTCTCATGTCCCTCGGTCAACACCGCAGAGACATTCCAGTGTTTCGTTTACAAAATCTTCCGTAGACTAGACCTAACCTTCTCATATCTGGATGACCACCTGATGGCCAGTCCAAATGAGAAAACCCATGATGATTATCTACAACCGTTTTTCCATCAAATCTCAGAGCACTCAATAACAGTTAGCGTAACCAATTGCCATCTTGGCAACAAATCCTTGACTTTTTTGGGGCACGTGACCAGTTAACAGGGCATTCGCACTTTAGCTGAAAAGGCGCAAGCGGCTCGAACATTTCCAGTGCTAGCGTTCCTGTGCACGTTTCTCAGTATCATAAGTCACTACCACCGGTTTATTCTTCAATGCGCGCGTACTTCAACACCACTGACCAATCTTTTAAAAGGTATGTGTAAAACACCAGCTTTTACCCCAGAATAATATCTCATACTTCGTATAATAATAATATTATATTCTCATTTTTTACATGAGTGACGCCAGTTTACAGGCATCATCAATATGATAAATTACATATACGATTAGTAAGCATATTTAATAATAGTAATTTAATAATAGCAATTTAATAAAATACATTTTTTTCCTACCTGTGTAGGACACACCAGTTGTACAGGCATGGATACGTATTATTTAAATTACATAAATTTGGTTCATGGCAAAATTATAAGGTTGCAGTCATTTTGTCTATGGAAACAATATGATAACTAGTCATTCAATGGAACACATCAGGAAATATAGAAATATTGTCTTCGCATTAACAAAAAAAACCAAGTATGTTTTGGATGGATTACAAATACTTGGGAAAAAATAAAGCTTGAAGTAATTCCTCCATATAACTTTGGTGTGTACGGCATCGAGTCTTATTCTTGATTTATATCCAAATGCGATAATAATTTAAAATAAGTAATCCACTTGTATACTTTTGTCAGCATTTTCATCGTAACATCACAAGTGAATTGTACTCTATGTAGATTAATAATAATGACAGTCTATATTTTCTTGTAAACAGGTGTTTTCAAGAGATGCAAGCTATTTTTGCAGGTATAACCAGTTATGTTGTAAGTTACAATCATGAAGTATTATAGATCAATACTTTTTTATTGGTATAAAGATATATTTCACAACTGTACTCCAGGCTGCCTAATGCGTAATTCACGAGGGAAATGTAAGATATGGAATCAATAATGTTTGCAGATCATTTGTCATTGTAAATGGTCGAAAATGTAGATTCTTTACAGCACTACATCTACGTGTAGTGCTGCAAACATTTCTGGAGGCCGACTTGGCAATAGATTCAGCCTCCAACCAGTCTTGTCTCGCAAGAGCCACACATTTTCAGTGCCATCTCTCAAGAAAGATCTTCAAGATTTCGTCACCGTTTGCTTGTGACATGTTCGTGGTAACCATGATTTTGAATTGCGTATTTGTCATTTCATCGCGTTCAGAGGACACTTGTGGGAACATTTGTGAAGTACTAGCAGCTGGTGTTGAGTTGCTGCAAGGTGGCGATGACTACCCCGGTTTCCATGGTCATGTTGTCAGTGCTCACTGAAGGTAGCAGGTGTAACAGCCTCCGTTAACGTCGACATAACCGAGATCTTGACCAGTAACCGCTCATAGATACGTTTATACCTTCTGTTAAATGTACTCATATGGCAGTTCAAACATTGGTTATATTGACGTAATCTTTTCATACTTAGTAAAGGGTTTTTACAGTTGGACTAGGAAAAAATTATAAATGAACCAAAGCGACCACTTACCTGCATTGTGTACAGTTTAAAAATGCGCGCACAATGGGTGACTGTAATCTAACTAAACAAAACAATTTGTTACGCTGCGATTAACATGGACCACTTATGTTTCATAAACTCCACTGATTGGTCATATAACACTTTCTTTGTTAAACGATGAGTCACATGAGTGACATCATTAGCAAGTACACTGACCCCTTATATCATCATAGTCAAAGTGACAATAACAGGTCACAGGTTGATTTCGTAGTGTGACCGCAATCTAATGCTGTTGGCCACTATTCTTAATGTACATTCACGTGTATGCACGCATACATACATACACATCTGTGTATGCGTGTGGGTCTGTCGTGATTAGTGTATGACGGAAAACACTTAAGTTGTCAGGTCATTTCTACTGCCATTCTGACTTTTAAGTGTTAGTGCTTCCTTCTGTGCTCTGCTTGTCAGATTTTGTGAAAAGATTCAACAGGAAACTGTTGATGCAATTAAATTAAGAAAGGCGCATCAGTTGAGGTACTGGTAACGTAATTTCGACAGAAAAATTGAACTAATTACAATTTATCAGTAACCTCCCACGTACAGTAAAATTTTCCATAGTTTTCCCTCACTGGCCCATTTATTCGGATTATTTCCGCCCTCTGAGACATTTTACCCTCATTGTCCCATTAAAAGATTTTTCCAACTTTGAAAGAAAATAGCCCCTTTTATTCCACACATTTGTCTGATAAGGCGAGGTTGGTATCCCTAGGGGTTTCTTGATAAAAAGATTAAATTGTTTTCAAAGTCAGTAAATATATCCATATCTAGAAAATACCTAGATTTGGAGCTTTTTACGACCACAACAGCCGGTGACTTACCAATTAGTCACAATTTAAAGTAGATCTGCCGAAGACAGTGTGTTCCTAACTTCTGGATATCATAGTGTGCTGTGAAGGAAGGACGAAATACGTAGGTTAATAATATTAGACGCCGAAGATTGAATAAAAGCATTTCACTTATACAAGATATATACAGTAATGAATGCACTATCAACTCACCGCGCTCAGCCCTACATCGCTCTATAAATTTTTCTTGTTTGAAAATGAAACATGCAC